CAACGAGCTCTCATCATAACCTGGATGGACGATTTCTAACTGATCGAGCGATTAAGTTCGATCACATGCAGCAGGTGTTGGCCTCTGTTTGGCGTCCGTGATGGGAATGCGTGTCCTTCCGATCGCCGACAACCTGTTTTTGTTTCAGTTTCCGCATTTGAAGGATCTGCAACGTGTGATTGGGGATGGCCCTTGGTCATTCAAAAACCACATGCTTGTGTGTGGTAAGGTCCCGATCGGCGTTAGGCCAGAGGATGTGGTTCTCAACGATGTCTCGTTCGGGGTGCAGATTCACGATCTCCCCACAATCTACGCTTCCTTAGCTTTCATCACATGCATCGGCGATGATAGGAATATTTTTGTAAGTTTTGATGAGCCAAATGTATCTTTAGATCCCCTTTGTTTTTAAGTCTTTAGTACAAGCATCATAAATCAGAATATTGAAATCAGAAGGAATCTACCATAGGAAGAACAAAATTAATTTGAGAAATTAATTTTGGTCCTACGAGTATTCATCCATGAAAGAAGCATAAAGCAATGGCGTTGCAAGGAATGACCGGATGAGCCTAACGGCGAAATGGTAGAGGTCCTTACTCTAAACGATCACACCCGAGATTGATTCCCCCCCAATGACCTATATTTTTAAGGCAGATTTTTGAAGGAGCTCGATGTGTGCTCAAAAGAGCACAATGTGTGCTAAAGGAGCACGATGTGTTCAAAAGAGCACAATGTGTGCTAAAGGAGCACGATGTGTTCAAAAGAGCACGATGTGTTCAAAAGAGCACAATGTGTCCGAAGGAGCACGATGCTCACCAAAGGAGCACAATGTGACCAATTCTGCTAAGAAGCACAATGCTGCTAAGGAGCACAATGCGAAGAAGCACAATGCCACCTAAGAAGCACAATGTTGTCTAAGAAGCACAATGCTGTCAGAAGAGCACAATGTATCGAAAGAAGCAAAATGTTCAAAGTCAAGGAGCACGATGTTCAAGTCAAAGGAGCACAATGTGGCAAAAGAGCAAGATGATCAGAAATTGGATAAATTCGATGGAATTTACTCCAAGTCCACCCACATGCCACAAGACTCCAAAATTGCCTGAAAGACATTTGATCAGAACGGAAAAATATTTATGAAGGCATGAATATAAAAACTTATCCTAGAAATAAATTCTATCAGATGAATTTATTTCAAAGATTCGTTGGATATTCAAATTGACAATTAAAGTAATATTTTTAGAAACAACTAGAAAATCAAAGTTGTGCTAGAAATAATTACTTTGTCAGGCAAGTTGACAAATCAAATCAAAATTGAAGATCTACTGTCAACAATATCAGGCTATGAAGATTCAAAATTCAAATATCAAATTATCCCACTCCAACGGATATATTTGATTGAGTATAAAAAGCCATGAAGACTTGAAGACAAAGAGCGTGAGAAGAACAGAGAAAAACGAGATAGAATACAAGTGCAAAATTCAAAAGTGCTAGTGCTCAAATATTCAAAGAGACTTAGTCTGAATAGTCTCAAAATCTAGTTGAAGAGAGAAATACAAATCCTTGTATTTGTAAACTGTAGAAAGAGTATAGCTGTGTGCAAAATACTCTAGTGAGTGTAGCTGTGTGCAAAACACTCGTAGTTGCTAAGTGTAGCTGTGTGCAAGACACTTAGTTGGCGTTGAGTATAGCTGTGTGCGAAATACTCGGAGTTGAGTATAGCTGTGTGCGAAATACTCGGAGTTGAGTGTAGCTGTGTGCGAGACACTCGGAGTAGGGTGTAGCTGTGTGCAAGACATCCGGAGGAAGTGCCTGTGTAGCACTTGTTCACTATTGTAACTGTGTGTGGAAAATAGTGAATTTCTTCTAGACGTGAAAGGAGAAAAGTGGACTAGGAAGATTACGCCACTTCCGAATCACTATAAATTGCCTCTCTCATTTACATACCGCACTTACTTTATTTGCTATATCTATCTATCTCATCCGACTAACCCGTTTACTATTCACAGTTAATCTTAATCATCCGGGTTTTGTGTGTTCTCACGTATGCATGTGACTCAAACTTCTCAAGCTTAAATAGTGATTTATTCTAAGCAAGTTTGACGTGTTGCATGTAACATTCGTCACACTTTCGACGTGATACGATATTTATTTACAATCTTGAATATTGTCATTATATATTGAGTGAACCATCTCCTCTATATATTCAAGATATCTCTGTCACTTTACATATCATTTGTACCTAACTTACTTATACCTGCACACTTAATTTACTAGTTGGGCATAACTCTTTACTATTATTCCGCTGTGCAGTACAAACTTGCTCTATTTAGAGTTGAAGTTACCAAAGAGTTATTTAATCTGAAAAAGCTTGAAAGTCTATTCACCCCCCCTCTAGACTTTCACCACCCTATCGGGACCAACAGGCGATTACGTAGGCACCTTTCTGGCAGTCGATCTAAATAACTTTGGTGGATCTTGGAGAAGTTTTTTCAGAATCATAGTGCGGCTGGATGTGAACGCTCCCCTGAAGAGACGAATGAAGCTTTGCCGAAAGGATGACACGGTGCAGTGGGTAAGCTTTAAATATGAGAGACTAGGCACTTTCTGTTTCTATTGTGGGGTGCTAGGGCATTCTGATAAGTTCTGCAAGAAGGTATATGAAGAAGGTGTCGAACCAGAGGCATTTCCTTATGGGGCTTGGATGCGAGCGGGGGCTCGACGTTAGGTTCGTCCAGTCGGGGCAAAATGGCTTTTGGCCGAACTCCCACATGCTACGTTGGTGACATATGCTTCTAGTTCAGGAGAGGTCTCAAGACGTGGCAGCAGTTGAAGAAAACGGTGGTTTGCAGGGGGATTTAAACAGTCATAGGGAAGGTAGTACGAGGGAATTGATGTGATCATGGCTGAGAACCCAAAATATTATCTTCGGCGGGTCTGGTGATCCAGACTCGCCCTGCACAATGAGTACAATGAGTTGGAACTGCCGGGGGTTGGGTAGCGACTGGACAGTTCAAGAATTACTGGGCTTAGTGTCCAGACAGCAATCCAGATTTGTTTTCCTTATGGAAACAAAAGCTCTTACATGTCAAGTTGAACCAGCAAGGTTGAAGTTGGGTCTTGAAGGCTTGCTGTGTGTGGATCGTATAGGTATAGGCGGTGGTCTTGTGCTATTCTTGCGAGATTCGGGGATGGCTTCATTGCTTAGCTATTCGCCTAGCCATATTGATGTCATTGTCTCTTTGCCTGGGAAACCAGTTTGGAGGGTAACATGTTTTTATGGTAACCTCAACAAAATGAGAAGGCATTTGTCATGGGATTTGCTCCGTGGATTAAAGGACCGGTTCAACCTTCCTTGGGTCATAATCGGCGACTTTAATGACATTGCATGCCAATCGGAGAAACAGGGATCTCACCCGCAACCTATATCCTTAATTGATGGTTTTAATGCTGTCTTAAGTGTAACACCCCACTTTTCTTAAACCATATTAACAATACTTAACTTAGAAAGGGATACTAAACAAGCATAATAAACTTACTAATCCAACTTTAAGAGGTGTCACCGCCACAATCACCACACACGGTGATTGCACAGGAAAGGAAAATATCTAAATGAAGTCAAGCTTAACTAACTTTAAACAATCTAGGGGAATAAAACCCCGATGTCCAACACCAACAAAAACATCTGAATAGGTCTACAACCAAGTCTCAAAATAAACATAATTGAAAAGAGTTTAGACTACAATTAGCACTCTAAGCTAATCTAGTCTAACTCGATCGCTCTCAAGAACTAGGCCCACCTGAAAGGGGTTAACAAACAAGCAAGTAGAAAACAACCCGTTAGCACGAAGCTAAGTATAACGCCACTCAACCCTGTAAAATACTATAGCATATACTTTTGGAAAACATTTGTTTTACACACTTAGATCAAGTATTCTCAATCACTTAAACAACATTCAAACATACTCAACAGTATTTCTATATGCTTGCAACCTAATTATCAAATAGGCATACTTTCTCAATCATTTAACTCATCAATCAATCTCATGCTTTCACACACATATATAAACATGGCGAGATACATTATTCATGCTCAACTGATGGGTACTAATATACTTAAACTTTAACAAGCAATCTCATGCTATCATATATCGCAACTAACAATCTCATATTATTATATGTCTCAATAAGCAATCTCATGCTATCATATATTTCAACAAACAATCTCATATTATCATATGTCTCAATAAGCAATCTCATGCTATCATATAATGAATAAACGACAATATAAAGTCATGCTTCTTATCATACTTTCATGCAACACGTGCAAATCATCTAATCATGCAATAAAATGAACATGATGTTTTAGTATAAGTACAGATAGATATACATATACACTCTTTCTTTGGTAACAAGGAACACTAGTTCGAAGGAGGTTTCTTAGAGTCACAATGACTCGCTTTTCTCTTCTTTCTCTAGAGTCACGTTGACTCGCTTTCTTTCTTTCCTTAGAGTCACATTTACTCGCTTTCACTCTTTACTTTTACTCATGGGCGAGGTAGGAACTTCACCATAATGTGAACGGATCTATCTGGGCTCGGCATCTAGCCGGCCTAATACTCATCTCGCCCAAAGAACCATTCTCTTAGTTCTTTCTCAAACTCTGTGGAATCAGGTATCGTACTTGTCAATGTGCACACCCCCTGACCGGGATTCCAAGCCCGGCGGGTAGTATCCTACCTAGTAACTCGGGAATATCGATCTCGTTACTTCACATCGGATCGCAATGTCCGTTTCTTTCTTTACTTTCTCATTTTCTTCCGAAAGGACATAGTCCTAACGGGCCTCCAAAACCTCGGATTACTGATCCCTACCCCACTATGGCGGTTTCCGTCCCTCTACAGTGGTTTTCATCCATCCACGTCGTTTGGTGTTATTTATGTGCATGTATTCTGTTTGTGTGTGATCTCATCTACGATCATTGCTCCGATTGCCTCCAATCAGCGATGGACACCAGCGCGATTGAGATAGGCTGTGCCGTGATGTCTTTGGCAGAGGAAGAGACGGGTGGTCTGGATGTCCCTGATATCCATGCATCTCCAGCAACGAGCTCTCATCATGACCTGGATGGACGATATCTAACTGATCGAGCGATTAAGTTCGATCACATGCAGCAGGTGTTGGCCTCTGTTTGGCGTCCGGTGATAGGAATGCGTGTCCTTCCGATCGCCGACAACCTGTTTTTGTTTCAGTTTCCGCATTTGAAGGATCTGCAACGTGTGATTGGGGATGGCCCTTGGTCATTCAAAAACCACATGCTTGTGTGTGGTAAGGTCCTGATCGGCGTTAGGCCAGAGGATGTGGTTCTCAACGATGTCTCGTTCGGGGTGCAGATTCACGATCTCCCCAAAATCTACGCTTCCTTAGCTTTCATCACATGCATCGGCGATTATGTAGGCACCTTTCTGGCAGTCGATCTAAATAACTTTGGTGGATCTTGGAGAAGTTTTTTCAGAATCATAGTGCGGCTGGATGTGAACGCTCCCCTGAAGAGACGAATGAAGCTTTGCCGAAAGGATGACACGGTGCAGTGGGTAAGCTTTAAATATGAGAGACTAGGCACTTTCTGTTTCTATTGTGGGGTGCTAGGGCATTCTGATAAGTTCTGCAAGAAGGTATATGAAGAGGGTGCGGAACCAGATGCATTCCCTTATGGGGCTTGGATGCGAGCGGGGGCTCGAACGTTAGGTTCGTCCAGTCGGGGCAAAATTGCTTTTGGCCGAACTCCCACATGCTACGTTGGTGACATATGCTTCTAGTTCAGGAGAGGTCTCAGGACGTGGCAACAGTTGAAGAAAACGGTGGTCTGCAGGGGGATTTAAACAGTCATAGGGAAGGTAGTACGAGGGAATTGATGTGATCATGGCTGAGAACCCAAAATATTATCTTCGGCGGGTCTGGTGATCCAGACTCGCCCTGCACAATGAGTACATTGAGTTGGAACTGCCGGGGGTTGGGTAGCGACCGGACAGTTCAAGAATTACTGGGCTTAGTGTCCAGACAGCAATGCAGTTTTGTTTTCCTTATGGAAACAAAAGCTCTTACATGTCAAGTTGAACCAGCAAGGTTGAAGTTGGGTCTTGAAGGCTTGCTGTGTGTGGATCGTATAGGTATAGGCGGTGGTCTTGCGCTATTCTTGCGAGATTCGGGGATGGCTTCATTGCTTAGCTATTCGCCTAGCCATATTGATGTCATTGTCTCTTTGCCTGGGAAACCAGTTTGGAGGGTAACATGTTTTTATGGTAACCTCAACAAAATGAGAAGGCATTTGTCATGGGATTTGCTCCGTGGATTAAAGGACCGGTTCGACCTTCCTTGGGTCATAATCGACAACTTTAATGACATTGCATGCCAATCGGAGAAACAGGGATCTCACCCGCAACCTATATCCTTAATTGATGGTTTTAATGCTGTCTTAAGTGTAACACCCCACTTTTCTTAAACCATATTAACAATACTTAACTTAGAAAGGGATACTAAACAAGCATAATAAACTTACTAATCCAACTTTAAGAGGTGTCACCGCCACAATCACCACACACGGTGATTGCACAGGAAAGGAAAATATCTAAATGAAGTCAAGCTTAACTAACTTTAAACAATCTAGGGGAATAAAACCCCGATGTCCAACACCAACAAAAACATCTGAATAGGTCTACAACCAAGTCTCAAAATAAACATAATTGAAAAGAGTTTAGACTACAATTAGCACTCTAAGCTAATCTAGTCTAACTCGATCGCTCTCAAGAACTAGGCCCACCTGAAAGGGGTTAACAAACAAGCAAGTAGAAAACAACCCGTTAGCACGAAGCTAAGTATAACGCCACTCAACCCTGTAAAATACTATAGCATATACTTTTGGAAAACATTTGTTTTACACACTTAGATCAAGTATTCTCAATCACTTAAACAACATTCAAACATACTCAACAGTATTTCTATATGCTTGCAACCTAATTATCAAATAGGCATACTTTCTCAATCATTTAACTCATCAATCAATCTCATGCTTTCACACACATATATAAACATGGCGAGATACATTATTCATGCTCAACTGATGGGTACTAATATACTTAAACTTTAACAAGCAATCTCATGCTATCATATATCGCAACTAACAATCTCATATTATTATATGTCTCAATAAGCAATCTCATGCTATCATATAATGAATAAACGACAATATAAAGTCATGCTTCTTATCATACTTTCATGCAACACGTGCAAATCATCTAATCATGCAATAAAATGAACATGATGTTTTAGTATAAGTACAGATAGATATACATATACACTCTTTCTTTGGTAACAAGGAACACTAGTTCGAAGGAGGTTTCTTAGAGTCACAATGACTCGCTTTTCTCTTCTTTCTCTAGAGTCACGTTGACTCGCTTTCTTTCTTTCCTTAGAGTCACATTTACTCGCTTTCACTCTTTACTTTTACTCATGGGCGAGGTAGGAACTTCACCATAATGTGAACGGATCTATCTGGGCTCGGCATCTAGCCGGCCTAATACTCATCTTGCCCAAAGAACCATTCTCTTAGTTCTTTCTCAAACTCTGTGGAATCAGGTATCGTACTTGTCAATGTGCACACCCCCTGACCGGGATTCCAAGCCCTGCGGGTAGTATCCTACCTAGTAACTCGAGAATATCGATCTCGTTACTTCACATCGGATCGCAATGTCCGTTTCTTTCTTTACTTTCTCTTTTCTTCCGAAAGGACATAGTCCTAACGGGCCTCCAAAACCTCGGATTACTCACACTAGATACATATAGATATAACTCATGCACTTCAATCTCAGGAAACAACTTTACTTATGCACATAGCTTCTCAACAACTTCTCTTTTCTCACAAATTGGAAATCAAGTATCATGCAACTTCTCAATGCAACTAAATAATGATTTTCCAAAAGTGATATAGGTTTTTGAAAGAATACTTAGGCTTACTTTAAGCCACTTATGCACTTTAGTTCATGATATGCTAAACATGATCTTTACTGTAAAGAATATCTCAAATTCTCTTTGACTATAAATCAAGCAAATAATTTATTAACTCATGCTCATAACTCAATTCTCGATAAATCCTCTTAGCAAACACTTAGCAAATATTGATCGTCCTCTTTAAAGTTGAAATTGTAACACCCCGTGTTACGACCCCTAAGATCAATTAAATCATTTAATCAATTACCCAAAAGAAAGAATTAAATCAGAGTAATTAATTAGGAAGGCCCACCATAGTCCACGGGCCCTTACCCCTAAACCCAATCCTTAGTCCCAAAAGAAATAGAACTAGCAAGCCCATAATATTAGTTCCTAACTAGGACACCTAAATATATAAATAGGGGACTTAAGAGGCACCTAGAAACCCCCACAAGAATAACGCCCCACCTCCCCGAAGAGCTCCAAGAATCCCCCTAGAAGAAATCAAGAAAGCAAGAAAGCTTAAAGAAAGACCCTTCATAGCTAAGGAATTAATTAAGGCTAAGAGGTAACCCATGTCTCAACAAAACCTATTTTCATAGCTATGATTTCCCCCATAGGATTTCCCCGTATTATTGTGTATTGGTGACTTGTGATATTATTATTGATGATTGATGGGATAATTCCATGGGTGATCTTGATATTGGGAGATTCTTGATAATTATGGTGTTCTTGATAATTATGGTGTTCTTGATGATTATGTGGAGTTCTTGATGATTATATGTCGTTCTTGATTATTGTATGGCATTCTTAATGCTTATGTGTTATTTGTACCGAATCTTGTAATTAGAAGACGAACCGTATTCTTGTTGATATAAAAGTGATTAGAACCCTAGGTTGTATCGTATGATCTTATTCTTGGTTTATCGGGTGGGGAAATCGCATGTTTGGGTGTTGATTATATTTAGAAAAGCATGATAGGTTATGTGCCGTTCGTTTCTTGTATTTGATTCGTTAATTGTCTACGTGTTGCCGTTAATTGCATTGTAAAGTGTCTAAGCATGGTTTCGGGTTCCACAACGGTTTCCGGGTTATGATTATTATTCGTGATCAGCTTTATCTGTCTTGCCTGTTGTGGATTGTATACGCTTGATTATAACTGTTGCTTGTGTCTAGCCTTATCTGTCGAGTCATTCCAGGTTTTAAAAGCTAGAGTCTCGTAGGATATATCTTCATGCTTCAAAATGGTTTTCGTATATCTATATATATCTCTATATGTATTGTATTTCAACGCGTTGGAGTGGGTTACCAGCATCTCTCGCTGAACAGATATATTTGGCTTTCAGGCACAGAAGCATAAGTCACTGGAGCGCGCTAGAACTTGGAGCGTAGAAGTAGATAGTTTCCCTTCCGGCCTGCGTGCCATGTTTATGCATTTACATTGCTAAGGATATTAGATAGTTAGCCTGTGCACCTGAGTTCTCTAGCTCAGGTGTGGCATAACACCCCGCACTTTTGTATTATGTTTTGGGATTTAATGAGATTTCACCTTTATTTTATAAGTTTTAAATATCTTAAAAATCTGGGGTGTTACAGTTGGTATCAGAGCCTAAGTTTGACCCTAGGATAAGACTCTTAAGACCGGACTTTAGGACATTAGGCTTGAACTCTAGGTATTAAGAAACATAGGATTCGGGAATCTTAGGACGCGCGGTGAGATTGTGAAACCTACACATAACCCCCCTCCTCACTTTATCCCTCTCTAACTTAAAGGAACTCTCCCCTTCACTTATTGCATCACGGTAAGAACACAAAATAACATCGACCTATGAACTCCAGGATGGCACCGAGAAGAAGACAGGTAGGAACGCCAAAACTCCCCACGGAGGAATTCCTGACTCAGAATCTGCAACGCCTGGCCCAAATTGCCCAGGCACTAAGTACTACCGTACCCCAGCCTTTATTGAGCGAGAACTTGGAAATCCACCACCAAGTCTCGTCACACCAGCCACCCACCCTCTCAGGAAACGAAGACCCCACGACCCTCGAGGAGTGGATCGGGACTTTCGACAAGATATTCAGGGCAACTAAATGCCCCGAGGGCCACCAAGTAAGAATGGCCTCCTTCTACTTCAGACACGAGGCCGACACCTGGTGGGCTCACGAAGGACCCACCCTTGAACAAGACCCCGGATTCAGCTGGGAAACCCTAAAAACGCGGCTACGAGAACAATTCTATCCCAGCCACCTAAGAGCCACCATATACGAAGAATTCCTCCACCTAAAACAAGGTGCAACCTCGGTCACGGAATACTACCAACAATTCCCCCGACTGGCTCGCCTCATCCCCGAGCTAGTACCCACCGAGAGGGTCAAGACCGAAAGGTTCATAACGGGCCTTGACCCCGAATATCAAAAAGCCTTAGCCACACAAGGGCCAGGAACCCTCAGGGAAGCCTATGCCAAGGCATCCCAGCTACAACAAGTGCCAAACCAACCCCGGGAAACACGCCTGGGAAACAAAAAGAAATCAGAAGGAAATCACATGAACCCCACCCGCAGCCTTAAAAGCCCCAGGGCCGCCTCACCCCACTTAGTCACAACGCCAACCGCTCAAGGAAGAATCCTCACTCTAAGCAAAGCCAAAATTGGGGATAGCAACATAGTCTCCGGAACCTTCCTAGTACACGCCACCCCCGCCACAGTGTTATTTGACTCAGGGGCTACCAACTCATTTATAGCAACCGAGTTTGCCACTCACCAGCACCAAGGTCCGACTCCAGGTCAAAGTGGCCTCCGGCGAAATCCTAGAATGCGACCGCATGTACAAGGA